AAAAAAAAAAATTAAAAAAAAATAAAACTTAAACAACTCCCCCCCACCAACATTACTTCAATATAAATACTGCATTTTTTGTTTGAGAGAGAAAGAGAGAGAGAGAGAAAACGCACGCTTACGTGCATGGGGAAGGGGGACAGGGACAGAGGATCTTAAGCAGGCTCCGTCCTTAGCAAGGAGTCCCACCAGGAGCTAGATCCCATGACCTGCGATCATGACCTGAACTGAAATCAAGAATCGGATTCTCAGACGACTGAACCACTCAGGGGCCCTGCGTTTCATAACAGAATTCTTTCATTAAATATATGGTTACCTATAATGGGGGGTAAAAACTCAAATATGTATATACTTAAATGCCTAACAGAATCTATTAATTTAGAAGTAATGCTTCACATTACATTTAGCTGATTACACCCTAAGTAGTATCTTGGGTGCACTTCTGGGCTAAATATTTAAGTAGTATTTTATTTCTATACGGTTTGTCACTTCAGTCATTCGCATATGTTCGGTAAATATCTAGGCTGTGATACAAAGGCCGCCCTCTAGTGGTTCTCAGGAACCTAAGTAATTAGGCTTACATACATTAAAAATGCCTACTCGTTTCAGTGTAGACCTTTGCGAATAGGGCATACCTTTGAAAATTTACGCCAAGGAGCCAATGTCTGAAAAACGTACACGCTATTTTTTGCATTGTTAGATCGCGAAGCCCCAGAAAGTCCTTCAGTGGGTCTCAGAATAAGAAAGATGGAAAACGTTTATCTAGCTGTTTTCAATGGACCGATAACACCTACACGATAAATAGCTAAACAAGCAATAGTTAAAGGTGGCATTTAAAATTCACTTTTCTGTGGCTAGAACTCTCAAAATATTCACAGCACCCAAGACTTCACACTTGCCTCAAAAGCAGAATAATCTGGGGCTGTCAGGTAGCTCAGGTAGTTCTTAGTAGGTCGGTATCTGCGGGTTTCCTCCTCCACCAGCGCTGCAGCCTAGAAACGAGAACAGGGGCCAGGACAGGGATAGCAACTTGCAAGGTGCTTTTTCAGCACCAAGGGCTAGACAGCGCTGACTCAGCTACACCGACAGCGCGAACTTACCGCTTCCCGCACACCGGGCGCTTCGTAACCTTGGTCAAAATACGGCAGCGCGTCTACCACAACCTCTCCGGCGACTAAACCCGTGCCCGCCATTCTTAGGCTTGCCGAAATTTTCTGAGTCTGCGCAGACTCAGGCCCGTTCATTACGCCTGCGCTCGCCATGACGTAATACACGTCGCCTGCGCATTGGCTCCAGCGCATGCTTAGTTGTCCATTCTGAAGGCGCACTCGCCCAGGGGTTGGGAATTGCCCGGCCATTTTCTTTTGGTCGGACGTGACGTCACGTCGGGATTTCCCAGAATTAGAGGAACTCTTCAATTTCCTGTCCCCCAGCGTGCCCCCCATTTTGGCCTCCGACTGGGAGCAATTTGGAGGGGAGTTAGGTCTATTGTTGCCGGCAGGACTCTGATATCTAGGCGGGGGAATGCCTTAAAACTTAAGAGGGAACTGGCAGTGGGATTTGGCGGGGAGAGAGAGACACTGGTTTCCCACCCGGCTTGCTCCCCTAACTTCCCTCCTTCAACCCTTAAACTTTTCTCTTCGTGGCAGTCTTTCTCTGTCCCTGAGCTCCTTGCTGTACCCGCCCACTATCTTTCGTTCTCGGCCCCTGAGAGCCCTTGCATTGGATAAATGCAGTTATTTCACAGATTCTGGAAGTTGGCGCCAGTCTCCAGTTAAAGCTGCGAAGCTTAAGGGCCTTCGTAACAAAAGGAACTTCCAAGGTGAGATTAATGATTGCCCACCAAATCCAGATTCAACAAAATCGCGTCATTTTGCCTTCAGGACGTCTATGAAATCCAGTCATTTTGCCTTTAGGGTGTCCGGAAATAGAATTGTGCTCATTGCCTTCCAACCACTCCTGCTGCCGTCGCAGCACCGTCTCTGGGCCCGGTCTCCCAGCTCCCTTTGACTAAGCAGGCCAATACCAAATAAGGTCGTCGGACTATATGCCCTGCCCTGTGTGTGTGCGATCCAGACCCAGGCTTTGTCTGCCAGGAGCCTAGAAATGTTGGCCACGGTTACTAAGTCGGGTTAGTCTAGCATTGATTCGGATGGTCTTTCGAACTATCATCAGATAAATGTGCTAGTTATAGATTTAAGTAGTGTAGAAGGTCTTTACATCTTAAGCAATTTTATTTAAAATTCTAGAGATCCATGGAATTTTTGTTTATTCATTAAAAGATCTATAAACAACATTTTATACAAATCTTGAGCAACTCTTTTTACAGATATGTCCAGAATTCGTTATACTTTACAAAAACAAAATAAAACAGACCTAAGAAAAGGAAGTAGCTTCAGGTCACAGGGATAAAATACGACCTCAATCCCTGATACAAAGGTCTCCTCACAGAGGGACGGTCAGTGTTCACCACCGTAATACCTCCTACCCCTATTTTATAAGCAATTCCCAATTACTGATTTTCCTTCAGGGTTGGGGTGGTAAATGGGGAGATGTCTGCTAAGAGCCCCACTGGGGTTAGCTGCTTAATAAACATTTTACAAAAGATACAGGCTCAGTTCTATTTTTTAGGCCCATAAGAATTATATAGCACCAGCCTTAAATGGTATCTGCTTCAGATTCATTCACGCGCACCTGAATGGGTTGTAATGACAATACTGTGCAAGTCAATAAACTGCATCATAATACAACTTGTAAGGTTTGGTTTAGTTGGAATAAATATTTTTATGCCAGTTAAACCCATCAGCAGGAATTGAAGAAAAACAAACGGACGTCTATAACATTTATCACTGAAAACACACCATCACTGATAAATTCCTACTACGATTTTAGATATTAAGAGTCGGGGTGATTATGTGGTGAATGTCCAGGAAATGTTCAGTCTTGAGTCCCAATTTAATTAGGGCAAAAAGTCCAACAATTGTAGGGGAACCAAAAATGAGTCTCCTTTAGGCACCTGTAGTTTGAAGTCCCTTCTCAGAGCTGAGAGTTGGCTTCGAGCTTCAAAGAGAACTTTTTTGATAGCTGTGGTCCCACAGAGCTCAAATTTCCATCTGCAGAACTAATCAACTTTCTCTGTGTTCACAAATGAATAGTCCTGGCTTCAGTTCTGGCTCTACTGCAGAACTCTGGGCAAGTTAGTCAACCTCTTTGAATTCCAGTTTCTTCATTAGTAAAATGCAAGATGCAAGTATCTCATGAAGTTGACTTGAAGACTGAATAAGATGACATACAGGTACCATCATGCATGGCACATGGAAGACACTAAAAAAGGGGGGAGGGATAGTCTCATGCCCTTGCAAGGATGTTTTCCTGTTCCAGTTCTACAAAGTTTAATGTTGACAGGCTACTCACGTGCCACACAATGTGGAGAAGCCACAAGGTATCTACTTGTATGAGATTCTCAAAAACAGTGTTAATAAATAGGGTTTCCACGGAAGTGCGATCCCCTCAACAGAACGTTAGGCTGGAGCTACAGAAATGAGCATATTCCTTGCCTCAGCTCAAACAGCCCGTAGGTTTAAAGCTGCCATGATATTTCAGCGATGAGAATTACGTGTGTAGGGCATATTCTGCACTTCCATCATGTTCCCCAGTACCTGAAACTCAGAATTTCTCTTATTGTGCTCATCTTTGAGCTGTTCGTTTATTTTTTTGAGCCAGGTGCCCCTCCTCTTTGAGCAGTTTTTAAAAATGCAACACCAAATCCTTCCCTAGTAAAAGACAAATGCCTTCACAGACTAAGCACATAACACAAAGAATGAGCCTAAGAATTCAATAGAAAAGGCTACTGGGGGGGTTGGGGGTGGGGAATGGAGGCAGAGTAATTAGAACATTGGTTCCAGACTACTCTCGACAACTCTCCAGTGATTACTACAGCAGCAGCAGGAGAATCCTCCTCCAAGGACCTGGCCTGCTTTGTAACCTTTTCAAATTTTCCAGGATTTTGTAGGCTACTCCAGGGCCTCCTGACTCTTGGAAAAATATTTTCTTTGGCACTTTCTGTTCTATTTAGGATGAAGACAGTCTATCAAAGATTTCATTTCTTCTGCAGAAATTTCATTTTACTTCCTAAAGAGAGAAAAAAGTAGAGTGAACTCTCATTAGTTCATTTTTATTTATTGTACATTATTTCAGGAAAGGGATTAACTATTTAGTCATTTAGAACAGCCCAGGAGTAAGCCGCCATCCAAAGCTATCAGGGGATGTGGTTACCAAACAAACCAACTAGCCAACCCCAAATGTCTAATTATAGAGGTAGAAGAGAACTCAGACATCACCTAATCCAGTGGTTTTCAACCTTGACTATAGGTTAAAATCACTTGGCCTGATCCCCAGAGATTTCTTGGAGCCTAGCGTGGAGGAAATTTTCATTTAAGTTTCCCAGAGATTAAAACATTGTAGTCAGAGTTCAGAATCACTGATTTGATCTAACCTCATGGTATAAAGATTAAATAACAGCTCAAGGTATAATTTGTCCATGGTCTCTCAGCTAGTTAAGGATAAGGCCTAATTTTAATTAGGGGCATGTATTTTTCTTTTTGTACTGAAGTATAAATGACATACAATGTCCTATTAGATTTAGGTGTACATCATAGTGATTTGACATTTTTATACATTATAAAATGATCCCTATGGTAAGTCTAGTTACCAGGGGATACATATTTCAAAGACCAATATAAACACCATGGAATGTAGGTTCTTCATTGTTTTGGGGTACCACATCACTGTTCTCCAATATCACAAAGGATAATAAAAAGTTAGCTATAATTGGAAAATCATAAACATCTGTGTTTCTTTATGAAGTGTAAAATTAGAGTTGTAGGAAATCCTCTTTTGCCTCAGATGCCCTCTAAACTGGGTGTTTTAAATCTGGAGTTGATGGATGGGCTTCAGGAGGGTCCATGAATACCCTAGAATTATATGTAAAAATTGTACGTTCTTTTTTTCATGTTTATTTTTTTATTTTTCAGAGAGAGACACAGCCTGAGTGGGGGAGGAGCAGAGAGAGAGGGAGACACAGAATCCAAAGCAGGCTCCAGGCTCTGAGCTGTCAGCACAGAGCCCTGCACGGGCTCAAACCCACCAACTGTGAGATCGTGACCTGAGCTGAAGTCGGATGCTTAATTGACTGAGCCACCCAGGCACCCCTAAAAATTGTATGTTCTAAGCATACTTTTCTGGGGAAAAGATCTACAGTTTTTATGAGATTTTCCCAGTGATGTGACCTAGAAAAGATTAATAATCATGATATGCAAATTCTTATGTTATCTGAGGAAAACAGACCCAAGGACAACTCTGCTGGAGAATCCTGACCTCTGAGAAACACTTCCTTTTCTCCAAAAAACTTTGGAACTAAGTCATGGTTTATGTTCAGTGTATTTGAGGTCATATTGTTGATTTGATTATAAAGCTTTTGTGATGAGGCATACTTACTGCAAAAGGGTTTTTTTTTTTTTTTTTTTTTTTTAAGTCACATTATCCAAAAAGAAAAAGCAACTCACCAAGACTCCGCAAAATTCTATTCATCCCACTGGGCTCAGACTCTGGAATTGTTTCCAAATACTGGAGGGCCCGGACCTCAAACAAACCTACAAGGAAAACTCATGTTGGTGAAATTTTCCAATACTTACTGAAAATCACTTAAATAAACCTCTGTGCTTTCTACCAGTGTGATTCCATAGCTGAAACAAAATTATAAGATAAATATTTTCCATAATAACAACCTAGATTTTGAGCCCTAGGCTTTATACCATTTTTTGTTTATATTATTTTCAAATGCTCCAAGTGCTCACTAAATACAGAGGGATAACTTTATGATGAAACTGACCTTTCACCCCACTTTTCCGAAGCTCTCGGTCCTGGATGAAGCCTGCAAACATCTGAGTTTCCATGAAGAGATCCAGGAAGTGGCGTACACTTCGGGAGGTGTGGGATTTACGGAATGGTTCCCTTTGGAATACACGCTCCCCACGCTCAGTGACAGTCATGCTCAAAGAATAATGTCCCACCAGCTCCACGAAAAACCTCACAAATGCCTCAGACACCAGAGAGTTGAGTGTCACGTCTGCTGCAAAATGAAAGAAAAATAAGGAAGAAAGAAAAGAAAAACCCTAAGTTTTGTGTTTATGGGAAATGGTTATGAAAGTCATGTACAGGAAATCCTAGATCAAAGGACTGAGAATCCCGATTCTTGGCTCTCTTGCACACTCCATGACCTGCAAAAAGTCAATGGCTTATATTTTTAGTTTCATTTTCTTCCCACACATACTCTTATTACATCTTTCAGCCTGGCTTGCATATCCGTGATCTCACTGTAACTGCTCTTTCAAAGGCCACCAGTGAGAACCAGCCAAATTTAATCTGCTTCGCTATTCGTCTCTCCTTTAAACTCTGTGCTGCATTTATGCGAATCCCCTCCTCATTCCTCCTCTTGCCTCCCACAACTTTATATTCTCCTGATTTTTTGGATCCCTCTCCTGCTTTTATGACCAAGCATTTGTTTTTCTCTTGCCTCTTCTTCCTCTCCCTAAGCATGGTCCTCAGACCACCTCTCTTCAGCATTCCCACCCTTAAAGAGCTAACTGGCATAGAGATAGAGCTGGCTTTCCATGTTGATAATTCTCAACCTTACATCTGTAGCCCTGATATGTCACCGGAACTCAGGTTACCTACCTATCATTACCATGATGGGTAATCATCATTTGGTTGTCCCATTACCACTTAAATTCTGTCTAAAAGTCAAATCAGGTCCTTTTGAGAAATTGGTAAAATACACAATACATGTTCAAAACCAAATTCATTCTATTTTTCCACCAAATCAGTTTCTCTCTCAACTTTCCCGTTTCATACTATAACCATTATTATTCTAGAATAATTTGAGTGCTTAAGATATGTCAAGCACTGTATTTAGAGCTTTTGTAAGTGTAATGATACAGTGGTCCAGGTATTATTTCCTTTTTACAGCTGAGGGTAATGAGGCTCAAAACAAAGACATTCTCCAGGGTCATCTCATCTATTTACAGGGAGAAGTTGCCAGACTCCCAAGTCAGGTAATTCTTAACCACTGTAACATGAAATATATTGCCTTTCAGGTTCCAGGCTCAAACCTCAGATTCAACTTAAACTCCTCCTTTTTCTTCCATTTCTAGTAGTATTTTTTTCCCCCTTCATGATATCTCTTGCTCTTTCCATTAGCTCCGTGCTGGGCTGGGAATCGGACCTAGGTTTGGTCAGAGTTCTACCATGAAACAGCAGTATAATGGGAGGCAAGTTGCTTTACACCTGCACCCCCCACCCCACAGCCTCTCTTTCCATATCTGTACAATGAGGTGGCTGATGAGGTGACCACTAATGTCTCTTCTGGCATTACATTGATTTTAAAGTACATTTTTAAAATATTTTGTTCAACAGACATCCTTCTCATCTCTTTCCTTCTGTAGCTGAGAATCCATGATCCATCACTGCTTTTACTGTCAACACCTGTGCCCGTCTCCCACCCCTTCCAGTTACTCTCCCATTTCTCTTCCACTTTACAGCAAAACTTTTCAAGAGTTGTTTATACCTGTTGTACCCTTTCTTAATCTAATTCCCTTTGTTCTAAAAATTATGCATTTCTATAACTTATCTTCAATTATTTGTTTGTTTTAGTGTATATGCTTTGTACATTCTTTTATATGTATAAATATTTCATAAGGTCACGAGTGAAATGAACACACCAGTACCCACCCCAAAGTTTAAAATAGATCAGATCATCAAGGGTTATCTCTGAAGCTCCGTGTGATGCCCTCTCTGAAATGTTCTTCCCCTACTCTCCAATAGAGGGCGACGATTCTCTGCGATTTTATATTTATCATTCCCTTAACCTGAGATTACAGTTTCTCTATACACATAGGCACCCCAACAACATATTTTTAGGTTTCTGTATGTCTTTGAACCTTATATAAAACAGATGTTTGTAAGACGCTTTTCTTAAGGCAACATTCTCCTGTCAATGAACAGTTTTGCTATCACATATAATGCTGCTATGAAGACTATTTACTTGTTTCCTAATTATCATGTTTAAGAGTTTCTCTAGGGTATATATCTTAAAGTTGAATTGTCAGGTTATAGGATATATACACCTTAAAAAAA